GATTCGCTTGCGCGAAAATTTTCCGGCTCTGTTTTACCGGAAATCGTCATCATCGAGACGGGATCGTCGACGAATGCTGTCGGCAATGGTGTTACTCATCAACGTCGCGCCACCGCCACCCACACGATGCCCGCGGGTGGCGGCGAGGTGTTCAAGTGCACGCCCGTCTTTATTCTTGGTGAAGCGGAACAGCAGTGCAGCAGCGACAGCGGCAGCGACACCGTCTCCGAGATCTCGACCGACAGCTCGAGCGATCGTAGCAGCATCTACTCGGATGACTCCCTGGATTTTATCCTGTATGGTAAAAGCCAGGGTAGAGCGAGCTATCCGTTTACCGCCGCCGACGCGACCGCCGATAGGTGGGAACAGCAGAGGCATCATCGCACCGCGCACAGAGTGTGGCCGCGCGAGTGCAGTGGCGTCGTCAGCAAGGCGCTCAGCCGTTTCACGTCAGAAACTTCGTCCAGCGGAACGAAGATTGCGAAGATCCCGACACCGCCGACGGCGACGGCAGTAATGCGCGGCGGCAGCAAGGCTGGCCTCGAGGCTCTCCGCGAGCGGAGCGGTAATCTGGTGGTTATCAGGGAGCCTGTCCGCGCCGGCAGGTATACCAGGTATAGCGAGGTGCAGTGCGAGTCGGTGCAGGCGCGGATTCGGCGGTTCCAGGTGCACGAAGCTTCGTAAAATCATCCCGCATAAGCGTGCGCCGGCAGGTGTCGGTGTTGAATTGTATTTGCCAGGTGTCTGTCTTGGCAGTCTCCTCGAATAGCTCCTTGAAAGATTGGGAGCTTCGAGGCAAATGTACATATTACATAATTACCTGTACAATAACGCGGAAGAGAAGGGAGGGGAGAGGAGGTTTTGAGCAACGAGATATACCCGAGGGACATGCGAAATGAAGCACAAAGGTGGAAGGAAAGGGACGGGCAAAGTTCCTCGAGGTTTTTTTGAAGGCTGTGACGACAGAAGTTTCTCCGGAAAGATTCAGGAATTGCGCGTACATTTTTTTTTTTTTTTTCTATAAAAATATAGATTATATGAGCTTTGCGAAAAATTAATTTGAATTCTCTTAGTTTATTTAATTGTCGCGGCAGAGAATGATAAAATCGAGAGAGAGAAAGAGCGGTATCATGTGCCATCCGACAATTGTATACAAAACAATGGGAGATATTATTCCTAAGTTTATTTTTCGTAAAGTATATAATGCTGTGATAGTGTTAGCGAAAGTTTATGGAGAATGCGATGTGTCTTTGCTTTTCATTTTTGCCGAAATTAGATAAAGGTGACCCATGTTTATAAGATTTAACGAAAAGAAATTTTGCGAAACAGCATCGTATAATTTAATCGCGAGACATAATACTAAACAGTATTTCGTAGCAAGAAAAAACAATTGGTATATGATGCGCAGCATCATACCAAACAAGCCTGATCTCCAGAATCATTCAACAGCCTCTCGAAGCCCCTAGCCCGATTTTTGCCGGATTCCTCGGTAATCCGAGATTGTACGTAAGAGAGCGCGCGATCCGTTTATTATTCACTCTAATGTAAACGCTATGTAGCCCCGTAGCGTGAAACGTATTGCGCATACACGTGTGCCTTTGCGAAGGTGCCGACGAGAGATCGTAGCTTGTATCATATCAAAGCGAACAAATGGCTGTTGTAAATACGGATGAGAGAGCGCGCGCGTGGGTATGTATGCATGTGTGCGTGCATGTATGTGTGCTGATGCTCTTCGTGGAGCGAGCGAGCGGCTTCGAAGTGGGCGGTCTTGATGTACATATCGAATAATCAGAGAAGGAATGAGTGACGAATCCGCGCGTGTCTGCACCGGCTTGCGAAAAGGTGCCTGCGGTTGCGGTGACGCATCTCGATGACGAGGGTGGTCGCGGATCGGACGGAAGGCTGAATGAGATCGTCGCACCACCTGACGCTGAATTCCACCGAATAGAAAACGTATTCCATCGAACGAAGATAATCGCCCGGTCGGGAACGACGACGTCTCTCCGATAAATCTTACCGCCGAAGTGTCCGATTTATGGTTTGTAAATGGAAGTATGCGCCCGAAACCGCAAGCACCCGAAAAAATGCTAATCAATGCGCGAGATATTTTGTGGCAGCTGTTTAACCTGCCGTTATCAATCAGTCAGACTGACCGACCGTCCTTTCGAGCTGAGGGAAGCTCGAACCGCATCGCGTGCATATGCACCAAGACGAGATTTAGACGCGTTGTACTTTTTACTCGGAGCGGTATTGTAACTCCGAAGAAGGCCTAATTTCTGAGATACGATTTCTTTAGACACGAATTATTTATTAATAAATTACCATATTTATATATGAACGTTATAATTGATAGTGCGATTGTTGGAGTACAAATTCATCTGATTTTTAAGTAAATTGATCTCGCGTTTCTAGCAATGTGTATCTCAATCTCGGTGCATCGCGCGCGATTCCGTTGATATCGCCATATTAATTGATCGTCGTGTTTGACGACGACCAACGACAATCCAGATAGATATATACATTTCCGGTGCCTTCCTTAAGGAAAGATCACAATGCGTGCGCGTAAAATATGCCAGTCGCCAGTGCCTATGTTTACTTTGTCCAATACGTGACAAAGTTCTTTGACTCACGAGACTGCGATGTACAGAAGCAAGAGAATGTACGTCCGTGGTGTGAAGAGTGCCTTAATTGCGCGCGACTTTGCGGGGAGATCGAAATTGAGAGCCTAGCCGAGATTTCTAGGCCTCTCTAATTCCAGTTAGCTCGCATATGGTCTCGACGAAGGAGGTTAACAATGCGGGGTCCTTCAGATGTCAGTGAACTCGTTGCACGAACCATCGAAAACTTGGGTTCTCGTTGCACGTTATCAAAGGGAACGCTTCCTCGTAGGAGCCATATCGCGAGTATACATATTTTTTTCTTTTTTTTCTTTTTGATAAATGTTAATTATGCTATTTTAAATACTTTAGTATTAGCATGTTCCCGTTTTAAAACTGTGCGATGTTCCATATCACGCGCGAAGTATAAAGAGACGATCATCCTTTCGTCTGCTCTCGGAGCTCTCGGAACGCAAATTGCAATAAGCGAAATTTATATCTGCGGAATTCATTATCGCAAATAGAAACGCGCAACGAATGCTAGTCATAAGCACATACGTTCTCTTTCTCACGCTCGCTCCCCCTTTTTTCGCGCCCCCTAATTTTCGTTCACTTCGCCGCGGACACACGCTCACGTTGGTGAGATGCTAACGAGCGACCTATGTCTTCGTCGTGTGAGACGAGACGGGAAAGAAAGAAGAGTGGACGAGAGCGCTGCAAACATAATGGACTTGGTTGGCCTCGCTTTAAGCAGGATGAAAGAGCATTGTTCGAAATCTGCACATTTATCTGCATAAATCCGTAAGATGCGAAAGGAAATGTAGCAATTTTCTAGTAAATAACTTATATATTTTAATAATATAAAAATTCTCGCAATATATATACATCCTGAATTTTTTTATTACATTATATTACTACCTTAAAGAGGATTGATATTGTTTTCGGTGGTTCTATTCTCAAACATAGCCATAACTCTCTTTTGATATGTTGACCATATTTCAAGAACTTCTACTATTTAGACTGTGAAAATGTTAAATTTTTGCAAATATAACTCAATCACCGAAAAGCGCAATTGAAGAAATATCGAGCGAAATTGCATAATATTTTGGTCTCTTCTTTAGCAGCTACTTCAATCATTGCGTGCGGAATCGAATCGAAGCGAAAGCGCTAAACGTTTTCCGACCTCGTGGACCGAGGCGATTTGACTGATTCAACCTTTCGGATCACGGTGGTTTGTTGTAATCTTGTCGGAAAAACCATCAGAACACAGAAGGGGCGATAACACGGAAATTAGATACGTGAAATGCATCGCACGCGACGCACCAAGTGCGCACAATCTTAACGCGTACACTTCCTTTCGAGTTGCATGTGCGCGGAAGTCTATCGTTCGAGAATATGTCTCCGAAAATCAAAGAGTGGAATTATCCTGTAATATAATTTTGCTACGAGACGGGCGGCGCGATTCGAGCGAGCCGGACTTACCTTCTCTCGCGGCGCGAATTCGCAATTATTTATTCTCTTTTTTTTTTGTGATATGCCATTAGCCAGAATTAATCGATTTTTGCATCATTTCTTCGTGTTAATCCAACTCGGCGAGAGAACGCGTCGTCTTCTGTCTTGCGCGACACGTCGCGTTGTCCGATATATTCTCTATCTTTTATCATTATCATTATATTATTATTTATTAATAACGGAATTAATCGCGATGGTTACAGTCGCGCATATAGCTGCTAAAAACCTCCTGTAAATACTTCTGTCATTGTATTAATTTTAATAATACGTACGTAATAAAACTGCAACAATACACTCGAAAATATAGCGCAAATTTCTTTCACCATACCTGCTACTTTTTTCTCGATAAGATCAATCTACTCTACTAATATGTTTGCTTTTGATATCCGAATATCGCGATTTCTTCACATGCAACAATGTCGAACGGGTTGCCTAGTAAAAGGATACTCTTACATGTAATATATAGTGATGTTTAACAAAGAAATTTGCCCTGAAAACTATTTATTGATCTATATTTTTTTACATTAACTTTTTTTATTTTTGTATTTTATTTATTTTATGCTACAGAATTTGTTATTCCTACATACATTTTTTATTACACTTATGTATATGCTGAACTAAAAGTTACTTAGAATAAGAATAGGGAGGTGTTGTTTTGACAAGAAGATAAATTATGCATTAAATTTGCATTTTGCCGTAAATAACACGCCGGGCAGAACTCCTCGGGACGTCCTGGCGTTACATGTACTGGTCAATGCACTCGGGGCACGAACAGGGAATCCGTTTCGCGCATTAATGCCAGGCAGTTGTTCCTACCGGCATTATTATAAATAATTCAACGCTTCCTCTCGCGGGACGACCAAAGGGTGGAATAGCAATGCGATTAAAAATAGGGAAGCTGGGGAGGAGAGTGTCTGCGAGAGATACGTGTGCGTGTTGTGCCCGATTAAAATCACGATACAGACCGAAGGTAGGGCGGCCCTGGATCCGCGTTTGCCTACCGATATGGCGATTGGAACACTTTTTCCGAGAACGTCGTCTTTTATCCTATAAATAGGTATACATTAACGGCAGCGCAGCTGCTACGATGATTCACCTTTAAAGAGCTTTCTGCGACACGGAGATTTGGAAAATCACGGCTCTCGAAACAAAAAAAAAAAAAAAAACACGCAATTTTCTTCGTAAAATTAATTATAACTCTCGATTATAATAAAAAATTTAAATTATTTAATCATCGAGAAATATGTTCTCTCTTTTATCAAATATAAAAATCTCACATTAAAAATCGACATATTGAAACTATTGAATACTCTGCAAGATTCTATCCTCCATTATAAAATTATATAACGCTCGCGTTTTAATTCGCGATATATATCTGCCGGAATATTAGCAATGATTATAGGGCAAACAGAGAAACCGCGATTATACATTGATACGATTGTGTCACCGTGCGACTACGTAATCAGCCGATACAAGCAGATACTGCCATTTTAATAGATAATAACAGTGTGCCCGCTATAATCGCGCGTTTTGCAATTGAATGAAACGTGATATAATCGCATACAAAACCGCGCT